TCTGCGGGGTGCACGGCGGGGTCCCCGTGCCGGGGTGGTGGGCACCTTGGTGGAAGTTGGGTTTCACGCGGGAGAAGGGGAGCCTGTTTGCTGACGGAGAAAGAAAACTCCAGATGCTGTGTGAATTTCATGCCCCTGGGACTTACTCCACACCCTGACAATTACTGTTTTAAATGTTCCAGTTTATCTTTTGCAGCTGGCTTACTCTGCTTAAAACATGGAAACACTGTGGTGGTGTGTGGCAAGCAGGTGTTGCATCTGGTGTTGTTTACAAACTATTAGCAATTCTTCTCACTTTGCTTATAGTACATCTCTGATCTATCGTTTTTGACTGAATCCACCTCCGTAGCCTTTCGACATATGCTTGGTGGAACTGGTGGCAAGGAGTTAGCCCTTGCAGTCGGTGTCTTTGTTATCTAAGTGTTGATTCTCTGGAAGAGATAACAGAAGGGTTCTTTTGCAGGGCTGGAGGTGAATGTCATTTGATCAGTGCAACTACGAAACCGAACAGCTGCCTGAATCATGTATAGGTTTATATATGTGTATGTACACACACAGAATTAAACTGTAAGGAGTAAGCAGTACAGAAGAACATTAGATTGGAACGAGTGGAAGCTCATGCAATATCTTGATCAGCTGCTTCTTTCTATTTTGGTAGAAGCTGAAAACAAAATGGGAGCCCATGCCTTAGCTAGTCTGGAGGCGAGCAGAGCGTTAAAGCACTTGGGGGCAGGTTGACCTAGAGTGAGGAGTGTGGAAGTTAGTGGCAGCTCAGTTCTCCAGTCCTTATCTCCATCATGTCTTGTAACTTTCAAGTGTAATTAGATCTTGCAAGTGGAGCAGCCAGGGAATTCAAAAGCATAAAGAGGAAACTTTTGTGTGATTGCTGCAGAAAGTGTTTAATGCCGTTCTTTAAACTCTTTTGAAAAAGCAGTTGATCTCGATCTGGACAAGAATTAGTGGTAATGTTCTTAGTTAGAAACTGGAATCAAGAAAATATGTGTTAAATCATTATTTTCCACCAGCACTTGCATTTTCTGCAGTGTTACAAAAACTTTTATTGCTTATCTGTCCAGTGAAGTAATAAGACAACAGCAAAAGTGTATAGTAAACTTTATTTGGGCAGAAAATATCTTGCTTTTACTGTCTTGGCAATTAGTTGAAGAGGGAAAACTTCAGTGAAGGAGCCAATGCATCCTGCTGAGAAAAGCATATGTCATTGCTGAGAATCCCAGTTCTCATTTCTGAGACCATAAGTCATTTACTTATGTAATGTAACTATGTTAAGAGCAAACCCCTTATTCAAAATGAATTTATTGTTGATGATGTTTAGTTCATATTTGCATGAATAAGCAAATATGAATGTCTTTCGTGTGAAGAGTCCATAACCGTGCTCTTATGACCACTAATTATAATCAGTTAAATGTCTCTGAAGTCTTCATCCTAGAGGAATCTTAGTGTGTTGTTTAGAAGTTTCTACTCTCCTTTGCTTTTTACTTTCCCAGCTGAAGAAATGATATATAAATCCCTAGGACCTAAAATCTGTGCAGTTTTATTTATTTGAGCAGAACCTAAAATGACTATTTGTAATTTCATGTGCATTGAAGGTGGCTTTGCTATCAGGGGGACGATACTCAGTCTATTCTGTCTCCTCTGCTCTACTCTGGTACAGTATTTGGGTTTGCAGAATTTGGTCTAGTGGGAAAAAATTAAAATCCAGAGGGGCAGGCATGATGAGGTCAGGATTTCGGGCTTGAATTCATGTCAGAATACAGATCAGGCATGTTTTTTCGAAGTAGAACGTCTCTGAGTTGTGATTGCAGCTGATGGTAGTGAATGTCCTGGTGCACTGAACAGTCACGTAGCATGTTCTGAAGTCAGGACTGTTCTAGTGAAAAAATAGTCAATAATGCAGAAGTTGTACTGTACAGAAGATTAGCAAGCTCTTATACAGAATGGCTCTTCCTCTGACACCTGCAAGAGAAAACCAGGAACTGCTGAGGTACAAAAGTCTCTATGCATTTCTGGAGTGGAACCTTAAATATACGTAATATATGTAGCTAGGTGCTACGTTTGCCACTATTTCACATGGATGTCTTAACTTCAGAATCTTTGTAAACATGTAGAAAGTTCTCTTTCCGATGTTATTGAAGCAAGTATCAGGGAATTCTGCAGTTAAACTAGAAGGTACAGTTAAACTTTTTACAAAAGCCAGCTTTAATCTACAGTTTTCCCCTTCTCGTGTTTTAAAGTTGGTCAGTGTGATCCTGCAGAGCTATGTTGAAAATGTTGATACTGCTTGCAGGAAATGAATACTATGCAAAAAAAAATTGGGGGCAGAGGGGAAGTTTATAACAAATGTTTATAACAAAACTTAATTTGCATTTTAAAAAATTACTTATTTGTCTTTATGCTTCTACATGGGTTTGTGAGATGGTTCACACCTCTAGATTAGGTTATTAAGAGTTCTTAGGGCTATCAAGAAAGTACTTTTGCTGCTTATAGCGTGTAGTATTTTTAAACAGCGTTACCAGGGTGTGTAAGTTTGTATGTGGGGTACAAATATAACTCCAGGATAACTAATGCAGTAAAACTGAGGTACAGATTGTCTTAACCAGGACTGCACTACAGGATGAATTTAGCTTTTTGTTTAACCAGCAGAGCAAAGAAATCGCACTTACTCTTCAGGTCCATAGTGCAATTTTTTTATCTACTGAGAAATAAGCTGTTAAGCACGGAGTTTATTTTCCACCCAAGAAGAGTTTGGACAGGACTGTATGGGAAAGCAGCACCTCTGCTGTATGGTCCTTCATATTCAAAAGAATTATAGAAAATTAAGAAAGATATATAAAAAAGTTGTACTTAATTACTTTGAAAGGAATTTTGTATTGGTTGGAGAAGAAAATCCAACTTCGTTCAGTGATAGCTTTGAATGAATTGTTTTGCTAGAGAAAATGTCTTACTTTATGTGTTTGGTTTTCCAAAGTATAGTAGTAGATTATCCAGTGTAATATGATCCAGATGGTTCAGTTTGTCAGCCTTTGTGTTCTTATTTCCCTTGTCATGTGAGTGGCTTACCTTAGTAATTATTTGCTTTAATTAAAATGTTTATAGCTTGGGAAATTGAAGTACAATATAAATAGTGATTTCTGTGTAATTTTTCTTAATCTGGTATGTGGCTGAACATGTGTAACATGGTGCAAGACTTAGTGAACTGATCTTGTGTGATTATACTCAATACTGACAGGCTTTGTTTAATTTTTAATGACTGGTTGTCTCCTTCTCTCAAACAGCTGAGTGAATTGCAGTGTCACCTGTAGTCACCAGCTATTTGAAATCAAATTTAGGTACTTTTTTTATTTAAGCTATGTTAGGTACATAACTTACCTTTAATGATCCCTCTACTCACAGAGTTGATTTCTTTGCACATGTGCTCAGTGTTATGGACTTTCTTTGCCTCTAGAGGTGAGACTTCTTTGAGAATAAAATGAAAGGGATTCTGTTTCTTGTCGGGCATAACAGACTGAACAGCTTATTGGTTCCAGTGGCTTAGCATCAATAGAAACTTGCAATATTTGGATAAATCATGTGTCTTAACAAAAGCGTGATCTTTGCAGTGGCAGGATACAGTCAGCATATTGTTGCATGTGACAGTAAACATCAGATGAAGAACCTTGTTTGACTTCCCAGGTTGTATCTTGCAAGCTTAGCCGTCTGTACAGGGAAGGTTGCTTTGGCAGTGGGAGCTTATGCTAAACTCTGTGCCCTGTCTTGCTTAGATTTTGGAGAGCTAAAGACCTGGTCATCATCGAAAGAGGGAGGTTTCTTTCTGCTTAGCAGAGCTTGTAAAATAAATGTTTTCTGAAAGCCTGCTTTGGTTTCTGTAAGGTGTAGCATCCGGCTCCTTTCAAGTCAATTAATGCATGCTAAACCTATTTTATTTTCAGGTATGTCAGAACACAGCAATGAATCCACAACACTTGATGAATCTCATCCAGCTGCAGAAGAGGTCCAGTCTGACTCTGAGGTGACTGGGTGACAGTTATATTAGCGTAAAATCAACCAATCCCAGCAACAGTTTCAGACGGCCAAAAACTCTGATACCCGTAGCACAGTGAAGTTAGTATGGGGATGTGAGTTCATGCGCATTATCTTCAGTGGGTGGGTTTGGTTTTGAGAACAATCCAATTAATTTGTAACAAAGTATTACTTCAACCAGTAGTCTTTTGCTGTGCTCCAGTATTTGTTTTGTGAGTTTACTAGATTCATGCAGGCTAGAGCCTGAAATTTGTAGGTGCTGCGGGAAGAAAGGGTTGGTACTGAAAAGGCAGCAGTCTTTGTGTAACCTCACTGTAACAAGACAGTTCTATCTGCCACTGGAGTGGTGAATCTTTTTTTAGTGGGAACAGATATAGCTTGCACCTTCATTGTGGAGA